ACTTTTCTATATTTTTTTCCTCAAAGATCATCTTTTTTAAAATTTATTACTTTTTATTGAGGTCACATTGGTTGATAACATTATATAAATTTCAGGTGTACGTCATTATATTTCAACTTCTGTATAGACTCCATCGTGTTCACCACCAAAAGCCTAGTTGTCAACTGTCACCTTACAAACGTCCCCCTTTCTCCCTCTACCCTCTCCCTACCCCCATTCCCCTCTGGTAACCACAAATTTGTTCTCTGCATCTATGTGTTTGTTTGTTGTTGTTGTTGTTTTTATCTTCCACATATGAGTGAAATCATATGGTATTTGGCTTTCTCCATCTGACTTATTTCACTTCGCATAATACCCTCAAGGTCTATCCATGTTGTTGCAAATGGCATGATTTCATCTTTTTATGGCTGAGTAGTATTCCATTGTGTATATGTACCACATCTTCTTTATCCATTCATCTGTCAATGGGCACTTAGGTTGTTTCCAAGCCTTGGCTATTGTGAATAATGCTGCAGTGAACATAGGGGTGCATATATATTTTTGAATTAGTGTTTTCATGTTCTTTGGATAAATACCCAATATTTTTAATTTTTTAAGGAATCTCTGTACTGTTTTCCATAGTGGCTGCACCAATTTACACTCCCACCAGCAGTGTATGAGGGTTCCCTTTTATCCACATCCTCTCCAACACTTGCTATTTCTTGTCTTTTTAATAATGGCCACTCTAACGAATGTGAGTTAATAACTCATTGTGGTTTTGATTTGCATTCCCCTAGTAATTAGTGAGGTTGAACATCTTTTCATGTGCCTCTGGGCCATCTGTATATCTTCTTTGGAAATATGTCGGTTCTGCTCCTCTGCTCATTTTTAATCAGGTTGTTCGGTATTTTGTGGTTGAGTTGTATGAGTTCTTTATGTATTGTGGATATCAACCCCTTACAGGATATATGACTTGCAAATATCAATGGTGATCTTGATCTCTTCTCTTCTGCTTATTCTCTCTAGGTCTGTTCTTCTAGGTCTCTCCCATCCTTATAGCATGACCCGTTCTTTCTCTCACTGTCTCTCTTGACTGCTTCCCCTCTCTGATGACGTTCTTTATTTGTGAAGTGGAAGCCTCTGCATCAGGTTCTGTTCCGTTTCCCTTGGGAGCCGGCAGGTCTCCCTTTGGGCTCCGACTGCGCGACCATGCCGACCTCCTCCCAGCCTCACACAGCCGCAACCCGCCACGAGAGGCTCAGGACACAGGTCTCCGCTCTTCCCCCTATTCTGATCTCAGGGGAAAAGAAGTATCCATTTTCCTGTGCTTCCATTTCCTCCTCTCCAAGGAAAGATAACAACACTTTCCCTAGCTAAGTCTTCAAGTTTTATGAGGAAGTCTCACCTGCCAAAGTACTTCAAAAAAAGAAGGGCTAAATAATCCAATAACCTGATGACGAATACGTGACAAAAACTGTAATTTGGGCTTCAGAGTCATTGATCTTTTCTTCTGACCAGTAGAACCATGTTTGTTTTGAAACCTATCCAAGGTTATGACAATACAATAATATTATTACTAAGCACTATATAAATACTTAGCTTTTATTCTTTATAGAAAATAAGAGGTGGGCAGGGGTTAAAATCACAATATTGAGCCTTTGGTATAAATAGACATAAAGACTGTGAAAGACAAAGTTGCTGTCTTTCCTTGGTAGTTATCTACTACAACATGAAGAGGGAACACATTTACTCTAACAGCAAGGGTCATGCTGTCCAGCTCTGCATTCAGCTGCCTGACACCCTGCAGACCAGCGCTGGAAATATCCCTATTCATTACCTGGCCCACATCTTGGTGGGGAGCTTGAGGCTTCGTCGGGCTCCTCTGCATCACAGGTCTCCCAGGAGGCATTGCCATCGTCTGCAGAAATAAATGAAATCCCTCAGAGGTCTCAGTATACACCCAAGCGGACATCATGGAAAGAAAACTCGTAGTGAAGATGCGGGAAGCTCAAGTATCTCCTAGGTGGGACTGTCCCTGTCCCAGACCATCGTGGTCCGCCCTTTGGGTTCACCTGGCCTATAGGTTGACTCACTCCCATCACTGTCACCAGAGGCTGAGAACCATCCACCATCTCCCTCCTTCCCCATACACCTAATTCTCTCTCTACTTCTTCACCTTCCCTGTTGGCTCTGCACATTTTTTCTGTCTCTGCCCTTGTTTCCTGCTGCCAGTGTCTCCAGATGTTTCTCTTTGTTTTGACATGTTTCTGTCTCCTCTTTTCCTGTCTGTTTTTCTCTTGCACCCCTGACACTGATCTTTATCAGCTTTCCCCACCTCACTTATTTCCTTCTCGCTCCCTCTCTAGTACTGGATGTCAGGAGAGACATCCCTGAAATAATATAACTCAACCTGATCAGGGAATGAGATAAGGAGCAGAGTGGGCCAAGGCAACACCACCAAACACAAGTTGGAAAAGTTATTCAATGGCCTACATATTAAAAAAGATCTGAACATGGCAATCACTGAAAATATTCATACTATCAATAGAGATGAGGCAGAAGCAATAGCCTGGGGTCCTGTGGTGAATAGAAGGCACAGAAAGCCACAGGAAAAGTAACTGATTTAATTCTAAGGCAACAAAGATCACCAGGCTTAAGTGGGAAAATAATACAATCTGATTTATATCTTGCAAATGACAATCGTACTGACAATTCTTAGAAGGAAAATGAGTAGGATGGGAGCAAGAGAAAATGGGACATTTCATGTTCCCTTGACTGAGCGAGCAAACTCTGGAGAAGGAGTTTCTAGTTTCATGGAAGAAGATGTTGGTTTCAATTCCGGAAGGGTCAGTTCCTGATGACATCCAAATGGAGAAGGTCCTGGGATAGATATCTCCAGTACATAGTTGGATGACCTTGGAAAACAGGTCTGCCTAGCCACCATGCACTTGAGACTCATTCTGTTACCTGAGAGTAGCTGAGACTGCCCAGGGAGAGGAGTATTACTCTCTGAGTATGTCACAGGCACACCTTTCTCTACTGGGGAGAACTTAATCTGAAAACTGACTGCTGAGATAGACCCACTTGGCTGGAGGATGCTCCAGTCTAATGACTCATAATTCAACCTTATGGGATCCCAACTTCTCTCCTCTCTTTCCTATACAGCAGTTGTCACTCTTTACTGATTTTTGAATTATTTTCATATGTCTTTCTCTACATAGTTTCCTTTGTGCTTCCTTCAACATTTTTTTTTTAGTATTTATTTGTTTGTCTATATAATTTCTCTAATTTTTATCTCTGGATCTCATTCCTTATTGAGGTTAACCCTCTTCTACTTTGTCTCTCACTTTCTGCTTTTCTATCTCTGCTTCTCTGGGTCTTGTTCTTCAGGATGCCTATAAAATTTCCATTATTTTATATATTTTCCTCATTCTCACAGATCCCTTCTCCCAAAATAACAGAAGTTCTTCCATTTTCACATCGACTACATGCGCCAGAGACCCTTCCCTTATCAGCTCTATCCTAACAGTCTCCCATGTGAACTTTCTAAATTGCAAGTCTATCAGTCAATTCGCAAAGCTCATTTCCATGTTCCTGGTACTTCCAGAAGTAGGCTGAAAATGATCTCCTTGTGTCAATTGCCATAACCTGCTGATGTTTTGATTTTTATGTGCATTTATAAAATCACCCAGGTACTCTGCTTTGGTGCCCCAGCCTACCTTTGGTATATTCTGTTTCCCTACCTTCTCCATGTAGAGATGCCCTCTCCACTCAGGAAATCAGCTCACCCTTATCCTTTGGCTGTCTTGCAGTTTTGAAAAATCAAAACAGAAAATGGACACAATTCCATTTGTATGTATGTGAATATGAAGAAGAGAATGGTAGGATGGGAGAAGAGGGAGACTTTTTTCCCCTCATTTTTTCTAATGCTGATTAGAAAACAAAGATTTATTGAGGTAGTTGGGAATTTAAATCATAATTGCCTTCTCCCTCAGCTGGTAGTAGGCTGAGCACCTTCTCTGGTTCTCCTTCATGAGTCATTTGGGGAGCTTTGGGATCAGAGGTCACTGCAGAGAAACAAGGAAATAATGGACCATGGGGGTCGATCAGAAACAGACCTGAGCGTGCTCGTGCCGACCACGATGGGAAGGTGATATGTCTGCTGCAAGCTCTGTCCCTGAGAGCCAGACCGTCTTGTTCTGCTTTTTTGCCATCTTCTTGGACCTTCTTCTCCTTCTCTCTACTTCTCCGTGTCCCTCCTACCGTTCTGCCTCCACACATTTCTGTTTCCTAGCTGTGCATCTCTTTGACTGTGGGCTTCTCTCTCCCAGCTTCTCCTGTCTTTTGTTTGTAGGTCTTGGTTTTTATTTTGCTTTTTCGGTGATACTGTATCTCTTTTCTCCTATTATCCTTCCTAGCTCTCTTATTTTAGATCTCTCCTAGACCAAGTGGTTGGGTCCATTCCTATGCTCTCTGTCTCTCAGCGGTTTCTCTTTTCCCTCTCCACTAACATTGTTTGTTTTCCTGTCTTAAATTCTTATATTGGGTACTAGTGCACTCCTTGGGAACCTGCAGAACTTGTTTGGCTTCCTCTTCATATTCTGACCACATGACCTTGCCCTGACTGGCAGCTGGCCTTGCAGCGACACACCGAGGGCATGCTAATTTTCTACTTTGCCTTTGCAAAGATAACCTGCATGCCTTTCTGTGCTTTATTTCCCCACCCGTAAAATAGAGGTTACAATAGTTTGCATGCCTCTGTCTTAAGGTTTTGTGAAGGTGAAAGGAGGTCTTGACAATCCAATAATCTGATGGAGACTGTCAGAAACCTTGCACATCTTGTTGCCCACCCTTTGTTCTCTTTCTCATTTTCACCCTTTCCACATGTCTCTGCTTCTTCTGTTTCTACCTCTGTATCTTGCTGTTGAAATCTCTTGGTTTGTTTCTTTTCCCATGTCTATTCCCATCTCCCTTTTCTCCCTCTTGCTTCCTTGATGCTGTGCTTTATGTCCTCTCCCCATCTCTCATCCTGTTGCTTTCTAGAACTAGGGATCTGGAATAGTACATAATTTCCACATGCTTTCAGCAGATTAGTGAGCAGAATGGAGAGCAGAGTGGACAAAAAAACTATTCCAAGCACAGGGTTAAGCATGTGCAAATGCTCAAATGAGAAAGAGTAATCAGAAGACTAAAATTACTGCAAAGTTTAGTACAAATTTTGAAGTAATTGCAAGAGAGGCAGACATGAGGCTGGAGCCATGGGAAGGAAAATGGATTTAATCTTTATGACAACACAAAGTTATTGATTTAAGGAAGAAAAACAAGATAAGCTAACTTGCATTTCCAAAGAGTCATCTAGTTGAGTTAGAGAGAACGGATGTGATGGGAGCATGATTGGGAGAAGATATGAAACTAGAGGCTGTGGTTCTCGTTCCAGAGAAAAGAGATCTATGACTAGAGTCTTTGTGTTGGGTGTGGAAAGGAGTGGACAGGTGGGAGACAAGTTAAAGGTGTAGTTGACTAAACTGGATGACTGATGGGGTATGTGAATTGAGGGTGGGGGATGAGTCACTGATGACTCCTAGGTTTCTGCTTAAGAATGGAACAATAATGTTCCATACTGAGATAGGGAACACCAGGAAAGGAGGCAGATCTGGAACCAAAAAAGATGATATATGCAATTGTGGAAATGTCTTATATTGAGGCTCCTGAAAAACATCCAAATGGAGATGTCTTTCATATCCCTGCACAAATCTATTCAGGCACTTAGATGAATGAGCTTAGAAGACAAGTGGGCTGGAGATAGGAACTTTGGGATCATTAAGTTATAGATGGGAGTAGACAAGAATTGCTGGGGAGAGGCCCATTGCCTCTGAGTATATTTGGGGACACCATAATCTGAAAACTCATTGCTAACATGTTCCACTCCTGGTGCCAGAAGTTGCTTCTGTGCACTGACTCTTCTCTCAATTCCTACAATGCCCAAACTGACTTCTTTATCCCGCTCTACTGACTTTTCACCCATTCTCCTTTATTTTTTTCTCTAAAAATAACTTTGTGCCCTTCCCCAACTCTTTCAGTTCCTTAACATTTCCCTCTCTGAGTTTCTCTCTTAATATTGTGTTCTCTACCTTTTTAATTCTGCACCTTGTTTGATTATTGAGCTTATCTCCTTATTTCTGTGGTGCTCACTTCCCTGCTTCTATCTGTTCTATTTCTTAACTTTCTGTTTCTAACTTTTCAACCTAAAATTTAAATCTAAATATTTAAACTTCAGCCCTTCTGTATATTTTGTCCATCTCACGTATTCCTTCTCCCAAGAGAATCAAAGTTCTCCTCTTTGCCATTGACAAACAAGCAGGGATCCTTCCCCTTGTCAAGTCCATTTCAAAAGTCCTTCTCATGAGTTTTCTATATTGCATTTACACTCATTATGCCCATGTTCCTGGCACAACCTCGGGGAAAGCAGATTGAAAATTATCTCTTCTCCCTGATACATTCCAACCCGGTAATGTTTGGATTCCAATTTTATTTAGGTGAAATTGGCAATCACTCCAGTCTCTCTTCATTTAATAACTCCATCTATATTTTTTATTCTCCCTCTCTTTGCCTATACCCAAGGAAACCTCAACCACTCTGAGCTCATCCTTCCTTCACTGCTTCTGTCTCTTCAGAAAAGCAACCAGAAGCTGGGCATAATCTATCTATGTGTGTATGTGAGTGTGGTTGGATGGACTGATGGAAGGGTGTACAGATGGATGGAGGGGTAGGTGGATGGGACAATAGGAAAGGATATGGAAGAATAGGTGTTTCTCTATGTTGACAGGAAAATAAAGCTTTAATTAGATAATATATCATTTAAATCCTAATTACCTTCTTTATCATAAGGTAGTAACCTGGGCATTTCTTCTGATTCTTCTCCTTCATCCATTTGTAGATCTACAAGTTCACAGGACACTGAAGACAGAAATAGGAACATGATGGGTGGTTAATAATGACCTAGTCTCTACCTGGATGTGGTCAATTTTCAGAGTGCATCAGACCTCTGATGTTCTGAGTGCAGGAGAACTGCTCCTTGGGAATAAAAGTAGGTTTGCACCAACTGAGCTTTGCTCTGCCCCATTTAGCACCTTGCTAGGCCCCTTTCCCCTTCTCCTTCTCTCTCCTTCTCTTTTTTTCTCCCTCTAACCCTGTTTCCACACATCACTGCATCTGCACCATGAAGCTATTCGTGAATCTCTTTGTGACAGTCTCTCCCTGACGTCTGCCATCTCTTTGCACTTCCATCTTCTTCCTCCATGATGTTCTTTACCTCTTTGCTCCATTACCTCCGTATTTATTCCTGTTTGTCTTTCCCATACATAATATTTCATTATTCCTATGTAATCCCTGGGAAGGAAGTTTAAAATTATCTCTCTCTTCCCAAACCTGAACTTGGTAGTATGTAGATTCCATACACATTTAGATAAAATTAGGCCCACTTAGGCAACTCCATTTGGTACCCCAATCTATATTTTTATTATTCTGTGCCCTTAAATTCTCCACACAGGAGCCCCTCCATTAAGGTGCTTAGCCTTATTTTCCCACCTTGCCTCCCTCACATTCGGGGAAAGCACCCAGAGGCTCATAAAAAGTGTGTGCTGGTGTTGGGGGCAAGGAAGGGAAGTCTCTCTTGCATACAGACAGGCAAACAAATTAAATGAGGTAATTCATCATTTAAATCATAATTATCTTCCCCATGACCTGGTAGCAATTTGGGTATCTCTTTAGCACCAACTCCATTAGTCCTTTGGAGAGCTTTAGTAGTTGACTAAACTGCATGACTGATGGAGTGTGCGAGTTGAGGGCAGGGGATGAGTCACTGATGACTCCTAGGTTTCTGAAGAGAAACGTGGAAATGACCAACCAGACATTGTGATAAGAAAACAGACCTCAGGGCGCTCGTGCTGAATTCTGGTGTTCAGCACTCAGGTAAGCTTCTCGTTGGGAAAAAGATACAAGTCCTCCAAGGACTTCATCTAAGACCCACCAGAGACATGCTTTTCCTCTTTTCCTTCTTGTTATTCCTCAGTCACCTCCTTTCTCCTTCTCATTTTTCTGTCACCACACACTGTTGCTTCTACACCATGAAAGATCGTACATCTCCTTGATCTCTGGCTTTCCCCTTGGTCTTTTTCTTCTTCATTGGTCTTCAGTGCTCTTTATCACTTTTCCTACTTGTGGCTCAATTTTTCTGTCTAGCTCTTTTCTAGATCTCTTGCATCCCACATGGAAAGTCCCAATCCTACCATCTCTTTATGCTTTCTCTTGCTCCCACCATCAAAATATATTTTCTGGATGCGAGTCTCCTTACATCAAGCCCTGATCCATTCCCCTGGGTGTAGACCTCCTGGGGTCTCCTTGTGAACTCTGCCCAGGTGTCCCTGGCCCTGACCCTCTGCCAGCCCCACATGACAATCATCGCAGTGAGTCATTGAGAATGCTGGTCCATCCACTTGCTTGACTAATTTGACCTAGTAAAAGAGCCTTATACATCCCAGTGCTTCTATTTCTTTATAAAATAGGAAAAAACAACAGTCTGTCCACCTGAATTCATAAGTTTGTAGAGATAAAATGACATCTTATTTACCAAAATTCTTTTCCTTGAAGTTTCTTTGAAAAATAACAGTAACATAATGAAAAATACTTGACAAAAATTATAATTTAGATTTCAGAGCAGTTGATCTGCAGGACCATGTTTCTTTTGGGGGTTCATAAAGTTAGGCACAAAATAATAACATTATTTATAAAACAGAATAAAATTTAGTTTTCATTCTCTAAAGAAGATAAAGGGTGGGTAGGTATCAATTCAAGACTTTATGATTAATAGGTATGAAAGATATCACCTTTATTTAGCATATTTCTACTAGAATATGGACTTAGGAACATTTATGTTACTCATGGATAACAGGACACACTGGATCTTTTGACTGTGGAGGATGCTCAGAGTAAAATGCATCAGGAAACATCTGCTCTGAATTCAGCTGCCTGACACCCTACAGCCCAGGGCTAGCGATCTTCCCATCCTTACCTGGCCCCTGTCTTGGTGGGGAGCTCAAGGCTTCCTGAGGCTCTTCTCCATCATGAGTTTCACAACAGGCCTTGCTGTCCTCTGCAGAAAGGAATGAAAGCCCTCAGACATCTCAATTTATGACCAAGGAGGAATCACGGCAAAAAAATAATAAGAAAACGAAGAAAGCCTGAGAAACTGGAATGCCCCACTCCCCAAAACGACCTGATCTGAAGGTTAATTTTGCTTCAACAGCTTTCTTTACAGGCTGAGAATAATTCATCCACCTTGGGGAAATCTTCCTTTTCTTACATCTCATTCTCTTTCTACTTCTTCCCTTTCCATTTGATTCTGTACATTTGATCTGTCTCTGCTTGTTTCTTTCTGCTGGTGTCTCTTGGAGCTTCTCTCTTGGTATGTTTCTTTCTTCTCTGTTTCTGCAACTTTTTCTCTTGCTTTCTCTGATATTGCTCTTTCTTTCCTATCCTTTGTCTCTCACTTGTTCCTTTCTAGCTTTCTCTAAAGAAAGGCCTCCCTGAGACAGTATGTTTTAAACAGGATTTAACCAGATTGGAGAATGGTAAGTGGAGGGTAGTGGAACAAGAAGACAGTTCTGAATAAGGCAGAAAGAATATGAAAAGACTCAGATATGAAAGAGAGATTTAACAATTAAAATTATTGGGAAAGAAAGTTTACTCTATCTTGAAATAATAGTGTAGGAGACAGGTGATGAGGCTGGGGAAATAGACAGGTGGTTCATTGTGGGTGATGTTGGATGCCACTAAAAGAAATATTTATTTAATCCTGAGTGTATTAAGAAGCTAAGCAGGAAAGTAATACACTCTATTTTTATTTTCAGATACCCCATCTAGTTGAAGTGCAAATAATGTAGTTGAAGGGAGTAAGATTAGAGGGAGGAGATGAGTAGAAGGCTGTTGCTCTGAGAACCATGATGGTGACAGAGAACTGGATTAGAGATTTGGCCTTGGAGATGTGACAGATGGACAGGTGG